ATCTTCCTCAAAAAGAAAAAATGAAAAAAAAGAAGTAGCCCTTAAAACAAGGATGCCTGCTGTCACCCCTCCTATTCAGCATTCAACTGAAGGTCCTGGCTGGCCCAGTAACACAAGAAAAAAGAAAAGTATATGAATTGGAAAGAAAAAAGATGCTATTATTCACAGATAATGTGATTATGTATAGCAGAGATCAGCAAACTATGGCCTATGAGCCAAATCTGGCTGTTGTCTGTTTTTATAAATCAAGTGTTGCTTGTTTCCATATTGTCTATGGCTGCTTGTGAACTACAAAGGCTGCTTGGTGTAGTTGCATCAGAGACCGTATGACCTGCAAAGTTAACAGTATTTACTCTCTGGCCATTTACAGAAATGTTTACTGACCATGTGCTCTATAAAAATTATGCAAGAGAACCTACAGACAACTATTAGAACTAATAAGTTCAACAAGATTACTAAACATCTGACAATGTGAAAAGATCAGTTGCATTCCTATGTATTTTAAGAATTACATTGCTGTAAAAAGATAACTTTTATAATAGCAAATAAAACTATAAGATGCCTAGGAATCTGCCAAAAGAACTTTATAAATTATAAAATTATAAAACATTAAAAGATGTAAGAGAAGACATAAATTAAATGGGGGCCTATACCATGTTTATGGAAGACTCAAGATTTTAATGATGTCGGTTAACCTTACAGGACCATTGTAGTAATAAATGCCAGTTGTAGATTTGGATTAATGGAAAGGCCAGGTATGGGTGATGTCTAGGAAATTAAACGGAGTTTACTTGTTGAAAGAATTAGAAAGAAGGAGTTGGGTACCACTGCAGAGAGTTTGATAATATTCCCCAGGACAGTTGGAGAAGTTTCTCAGCTTCATATTCTTCACCAAAGGGGTGGATAGTTCGGGATCATAATGTTTGAATGAATGAGAGTCATATCACACCTTTTGGAAGGACACCTGTCCTCCTCCATACCTAGTATTATATACTTAAGGTTGGAGCAGACTTGCACATGGGATAGCCTGGATAGAGACTACACTCCTAGGACAAGTTTTTAGGATTATATACAGTGTCCAAAACTTAGGAACCAAATAGACTAAGATAAATTTTTTTGAGGTAAGGCTATTTGGAGAAACCATGATCCCTCACTATCCCCACTATTGCTACTTGCTTTCTGAAACTCAGACAAATACCATACTCCAGATTCGGGTAACAGTATTCCTTGCTATTATAATTCTTTATTTTGTTGTCCTTACTCGGGTCTGGAATAGATTCATGATCTCAGTAGGATAGAGTGCGGTAGAGTACACTGAGCACAGGCCTCCTTTGTTTCCCTTGGCCTCTCCAGGATAACCTGTGCTTTCCTGAACTCAATGCAGTTATCCAGGGTTGTTTTTTTAAAAAAACTTTTTTTTATTGAAGTAACATTAGTTTATAACATTATGTAAATTTCAGGTGTACATCATTATATTTCGATTTCTGTATAGGGCTAATTGTGTTCACTGCCAAAAGCCTAGTTGTCATCCGTCACCATACAAATCTGCTGTTTTACTCCTTTTGCCCTCCCCCCTCTTTCCCTCTGGTAACCACCATTCTATTCTCTGTATCTATGTGTTTGTTTGTCGTTGTTGTTTTATCTTCCACATATGAATGAAATCATATGGTATTTGGCTTTCTTCATCTGACTTATTTTGCTTAGCACAATACACTTAAGGTCCATCCATGTTGTTGCAAATGGCAAGATTTCATCTTTTCCATAGCTGAGTAGTATTCCATTCTATATAAACCACATCTTCTTTGTTCAGTCATTTGTTGATGGACACAGGTTGTTTCCAAGTCTTGGCTATTGTGAATATTGCTGCAATGAACGTAGTGATGTATATGTCTTTTCAAATTAGTGTTTTTGTGTTCTTTGGATAAATACTGAGAAGTGGAATAGCTAGATCATGTGATAGTTGTATTTTTAATTTTTTGAGGAATCTCCATACTGTTTTGCATAGTGGCTGCACCAGTTTGCACTCCCACCAGCAGTGTATGAGGGTTCCCTTTCCTCCACATCATCTCTGGCACTTGTTATTTCTTGCCTTTTTAATAGCCGTTCTCATGGGCGTGAGGTGATAGCTCACTGTGCTTTTGATTTGCATTTCCCTAATAATTAGGGATATTGAACATCTTTTCAGGTGCCTATTGGCTATATGTATATCTTCTTTGGGAAAATATCTGTTCAGATCCTCTGCCCATTTTTTAATTGGGTTTTTTGTTGTTGTATGAGTTGTTCATATATTTTATCAGATATTTCATATCTTATCAGATATATGATTTGCAAATATCTTCTTCCAGTTATTAGGTTGTCTTTTCATTTTGTTCATGGTTTCTTTTGCCATGCAGAAGCTTTTTGGTTTGATGTAGTCCCATTTGTTTATTTTTTTCTTTTGTTTCTCTTGTCTGAGGAGAAATGATATTCAAAAAGATATCGCTAAGACTGATGTCAAAGAGTATATTGTGGATGTTTTCTTCTGGGAGTTTTATGTGCATTCAAGTCTTTAATCCATTGTGAGTTAATTTTTGTGTATGGTGAAAGATAATGGTCTGCTTTCATTCTTTTGCATGTGGCATTTGCCAGTTTTCCCACCATCATTTATTGAAGAGACTATCCTTTCTCCACCTAGGAGTTTCTGATGAGATCTTTAGACCACCTATAGGCCTCATCCTGCAATCTCCATTTTAAACAGAGTTTGTAATGGAACTTGACTAATTCCAAAATTCCTGTGAGAGAAGTAAGGGCCAAGAACAACAAAGATAATTTTGATGAAGAACAAAGTGAGGGACTCATTCTCGGACATCAAGATTTATAAAGCAATGGTAATTGAGATGCCATATATGATCAAGGGACAGACAATTACATCACTGGAACAGAACAGAGAGCCCAGGGACCTACCCCTGGGTATCAGTTGGCATAGGCTAGGTGGTATTATAACAATGAAACCCTGCCAAAAAATCTTAGTGGCCTAACGCATCAAAAGTTTATTTCTTACCAATGCTACATGTTCACTGTGAATTGGCAGCAATGTTCTGCTCATCACAGTTACTCAGGGATCTAGGCTGACATCTCAGTACCTGCTTCCATGATTACGAAGGCAGAAAATGGGAAATGTCACTTTGGCTCACAAAGTCATATGGGCATGACACTAAGTACCTGAAAAGAGGAAAACTAGAATATTTGTGAACAGCTCTAATGACTTAGATCATTATGTATATATGAAAACTTGATGTTTGGCACAAGAGAAACTATATACTAAATTGTTGTGGGATAATTGATTATCCATACAGGAAAAATAAAGTAAAAATTAGGTCTCTACATCATACCATGCACAAAAATGAATCATAGTGGATTAAAGACGAAAGGGTAAAAATTAGAATGTTAAAGTTTTAGAAGTGACTATTGGAAGTCGTCTTTAGTATTTTTAAAAGAATTTCTTAATACAAAAAACATAAACCCTAAAGAAAAAGATTGATAAATATGATTACGTTAAAATAATGGTCTTTTCTAAAAAGACACCATTTAAAGTGAAAAGACAAGACATAGACTATGAGAAAATGTCTGCAAGTCATATATAGCCAACAAAGGCTTAGTACCTACAATACAAAAATAGCTCCTACTAATGAATGAGAAAAGAACAAACAATCCAAGGAAACTAAAGGACGTTTGTGTCTTTGTGTATGGGTGTATTGCTTCTATATGATGCTCAGCCTTACTAGTAATCAAGGAAATGCAAATCAAAACCAGAGCAAGATACAATGTCACATACATTCAAATTGGCAAAAAAAAAGTTTTTAATCTGATGAAAACAGATTTGGCAAGCATGTGGAGTAAAGGAACTCTGCTGTTAGTATAAACTGATACAGCTGTTTTGAAGAGCAATTTGGTTATACGCAGAAAGTAGAAGTTCTACTCCTAGATATATATTCAGAAGAACCCTTATACATAAGAACAAAAATTAATATTCATTGCAATATTGTTTTAAATAGTGAAAAATTGGAAAAAGCCTTATTGACAGGATGATAATTAAATTGAAGTATATTCACACAATGGACTATTATACAGCAGAGAAAACTAATGAGCTAGAACTGAAAGTATCAAAATGGATAAATCTCAAAACCATAGTATTGAATGATAAGAGCAAGTTGCACATGGATACAAATAGTATACTATTTACATAAAGTTTAAATACATGCTGAATCATTCTAATCGTTGTTTATGGATTCACATATATTGTAATATCTAAAATAATGAGTAGCAAGGTCTGGATGGGGTTACCTCTGAGAAAGCACATGAGAGAGGAATAGGATTAGGGAAGGTCTGGAAAATGCATCTGAAGCAAAGTTGGCAACATGCCAACGCTTGACAAAGCTGGGTGATGAGTCATGGTACTTTCAAATTATTCTTTGTACTATTTTGTATGCTCAAAATATTTCATAATAAAGAGAGAGGGAAATAATAAACTTAAGTCTCAGCTAGGTTAAGAGACTTAACTAAAGTCATGCAGTGTGTGCAAGGAAACACCATGATTCAAACAAGTCATGCTTCCCGATAACTGGCTGTTTTTATTTTCTCTTTTTAAGTATTCTTTCATTAATATTGTATTACTGATTGCCTTGTAAGTCTTTGATGCAGGGATGAGATCTCTGAAGCAGAGATTTTCTCTTGTGCTTTAGCATTCATTAGCTTGAGTACATTGTACGTGCTTGATTGCCATATAGAGTGTTTTGTGTGGGGATGATTTATGGCCGGTATATCTGAATCTAAATAATAAGAAATGGTGTAAGGACATAATCTCTGGTAAGTTGAGGTGTTATATTGATCAGTCCACGTGCTAAGGGGGAATAGCAAGAGTTCTTCATTTTCTCTATCAGCTGTCTGAGAAATACTTTATATTTTCACAACTGTCATGAACTAGTTAACGGTACATTTATAGTTTTCCGTTATTGTTGTAGGTATCATGACTGGAGCATTTTATTCAGTCTCAACATTATTAAATCAAATGATACTGACGTATTATAAGGTAAGCTTTTACCTACATTTGTTGAATGTCTGGCCCAGAAATTTTCTTTAGCAATATAATTCCTGTTAGCATGATCATAAGATTAAAGATTTATGACCTTGTTGCTGTGAAAGATTTATGTTTGTTTTAATTGAGAATACATTTAATACAATTTATAAAACGTATGAGATGGAAAGCAGAAGTTATTGTTGCTTTGACAATACCTAAATCTTTTTGTTATTCTTTTTTTAAAGAAAGTGTGACAGGTTATATGGAAAAAGACAAAGAAAAAACTTTAAGGGAATCCAACACAAGTATACAGGAGTAAATATCAAGTGATGAACCTCTCTTTGTTTTTGAAAGGAGAAAACAGTTGTAATATGTAAAAGCTATCAGATTAACCTTCTTTTCAGACATCTATGAATTAGTTAAGAATTCTAACAACATGCTTGTACTTCTAACCTCATGGAGGATCAGGAAAAATTTCCTTTTGATTTCTCCTATATTTTAGCGGTGGTTTTTTTTTTTTTTGGTTTTAAAATAGAATGTCCTTTATATATGCGTTACCTGTCCCCACCCACATCACCCTAACACACATACTGAATCTTCCTATTGTTTGCTTAATTTTGTCTGATTACTTTCAATGACTATGAAAGGGTATGGGAATGTGAAGGATCTGTTTGAGTTAGAAGTATCTGATTAACTTCTTATGAAAATTCTTTTAAGGGAGAAGAAGTGAATGCTGGAAGGATTGGCCTAACACTGGTAGTGGCTGGAATGGTGGGCTCTATTCTTTGTGGCTTATGGCTGGATTATACCAAAACATACAAGTAAGTGAAAGTAGATAAAATGTATGGTGTACAACCTAAGATTTTTTGGTTTTAAAGAAAACATTGCTTTTTATTTTAAGAAATTTTTAGAAGTATTAGTACTAAAAGACTTGGATTCTAGACACTCTGAGGTTCCCTTCACTTCCAAATGTTTCCATAGGCTAAATATTGTCTTATTTTATCAGTCGTATTTATTTCAAATTTGAGAAGCTGGATTCCTAATGAATCTTCTTCCCCTCTAATAATACTCATATGTACCACTTCAGAAGGGATCATTTCTATTCTAAAATAAGCCCTTTCTGAGAAACATTTGACTTTTGACAGAAACTGTGTACTGTTCTTTTCTCATGTGAGCATAAAACAAACAAAAAGTTGTTCTTTTCTACCAAAAAATTATTATTGAGCATAGGCCTTTTTTTGGTAAAAAGTTTTTGGCTAAAATGCCCCCAAACTATAGCACCACTTAACTATAAGATGATACATAATATTTTCCTGCTTATTAATCGCCCATCTATACAGAACCGGCGAGATGCTCATACAGAAGAGAAAGAGAGTAATCCCAACTGGGAGACTGAGAAGCGGGTGTCAGAGGCCGCATGTTTTGCACCAAGCCTTAAAAGAATAGCTACATTTTTTTTAACAGGCATAGACTTCTCATCTGCTTGGGAGAAATGAATGAGTGGAACGGTGAATGAATGAAGTGTGGAACTGTGTCCTCCTACACACCTTTCAAGGCCCAAGATATGTTTGATACCATTATCTAAATAAACCCTTCCAGAATACCTTTGATCTTGAAATTCTCAAAGATCATTCTCCCATGCTTTAAGACAACACTTGGTGCAGCTTCGTTATTATGAAGTGGTGGCTTAGAGTGAAACCCATTAATGTGTAGATGAAGGGCACCTTACCCAGCAAGGGCTCCCACCTGATACGCATAAAGAGCCAAATATTACAGGCATCAGGTTTGGGGAAAAGAAAAATAGCTTTATTTGCGAGATTGATCTTCAAGGAAATGGGAGGCATATGCTCTCAGATCTGTCTCCCCAATCCAGGGCTTGGGGCAGAATTTATGGGATGAAGGGCAGGGCCGTCTGAAGTGTGGAGATAGATGAATGGAGGTAAAGAGAAGTGAGGTAATGGATGACCTATATGCAAGCATAGGCAAGCTTCATGGCTCTTCATAGGACACATGTTCACAAAAGGGTGGTGTTAGCATCATCTGAGGATGGAGTTAGCCTGATCTGAGGGTAGAGTTTTCAGCCCTTTGACATCAAAAAGATCACTTATTGGGCATTTGTGCAGGCCCACTTGATGGGTTGGTAGTCTCAACTGGCCTGAACTGGACAAGGGGTCTCCATTCCTGAAAAACCACTCTTAATTACTCTGTTGATAAGATGGAGTCAGCTGAACTGGTCCCAGAGGGTCCATGCTTACAAGCGTATGTAAAGGATTAAATTTATTAATAGTCTTTAGTCCATTATGTAATTAGAAAACTTGATAGGCATAGAAATTGGTTCTTTGTTGCCCTGGCTCTCTTCTCAGGGTAACTCCCATTCATACACCAAACTCCTGCTGTGTGCATCGCTCTTAGCTAGGAATTGTGGCAAGGAAGTATGATCCGTGTCCTTAAGACCCTTGTGGTGTAAATGGGGAAGATAGGGCATTCACATATGAAAAGTTAAATAATGATATAACAGACTAACATAGATAATCATAAGTTCTTCCAATAGCAGTCAAGTGCCAGTTATGTAGACGGTATAATGATAAGGAAGTTTGGAAGAAAGAAACTTGGAAGCTGCAGTGGTTAGGAAAGGCATTTTGGAAGAGGTGGAATTTGAATCTTGAAATACAAATAGGGAACTATCCCATTTGGTGGCATAAAAATGATTGTATCCAAATGAATATGCCTTCCTGTCTGAGCATTGGATATGGTGTGGGTTTTATTGTCTGATGCTATTGAATCTTAAGTCTTAAGCTTTGAAGTCCACACTCTGGTAGAAACATTTTCCACAGATAAGGAAAACCTAATCTTGGAAACCACAGAATTATTACTGTATAGACAGAGCAGTGGCTAGCCATATGATTTTTATGTGCCTAGGAAAATCAGACAAAATACTAACAATTTTGTTATTTTTGTTTTAGACAGACCACTCTGATAGTTTACATTTTGTCTTTTGTTGGAATGGTTATATTTACTTTCACATTGGACCTTGGATACATTATCATCGTGTTTATTACTGGAGGGGTGCTTGGGTAAGCATCAAATGTGTTTAGGAGGAATGACAGCATGCCCTTACAATTCTGAAGTATTATTACCGTGGTTTTTAATTTTTAAAGTTTATCCAAAGTTTCTTTAGTATTTTAAACTTTAAAGAATCTATCCTGTGCATATAAATGTGTAATTCTTTAGAAATATTAAAAATAGTTTAAAATTTGATATATAGGTGAAAAATGGATAAGCTTCACTTAATCCAAGTAATTTTATTTAGTTAGAAAGACAACTTAGAAAACTAGAGGTAAGTTTGTCTCTGAAAAAAATTAGGAATTGTTTTGCTTCTCAGTTCTCGTGACCTTGGGCTGACTGGTGAATAATACTAGTGCCTTACTTTCACGTATTAACTTCAAAATATTTACTTATTTGATCATTAGAATAAGCCTGAGAAGTAGAATGATTGCCTCAATATGTAATAATGTCCTTCTGTTAATTCTTTCTGTAATTCTGGATTTATTTTCTTAGTTTCTTCATGACTGGTTACCTTCCCTTGGGTTTTGAATTTGCAGTTGAAATCACTTACCCTGAATCTGAAGGTACTTCCTCTGGTCTCCTTAATGCTGCCGCGCAGGTAAGCCTCTGATTTCTCTGAAACCTGAGATGATTAGTTTACCGAATGTTCTAATGGGTAATGAATTTGACCATAGTTTTTGTTTTAAAAATTATACCTTTCAATCAATGTTTCTGGAAGCCAAATCATCTGAATAAAATAGTTAAGATCTGGGAAGAACATTACACTTATTTTAAAGACGTAAACAATAAAAATTATTTCTCTTATTTTATTTTAGATATTTGGAATTTTGTTCACATTGGCTCAAGGAATGCTCACATCAAACTATAGTCCTAAGGCAGGGAACATTTTCCTCTGTGTTTGGATGTTTGTAGGCATCGTTTTAACAGGTAAATTAGGGTATGTTCTTGGCAAAAAGACTTGTGTCATGTTGTCTTCATATTTTCATGTATATTGATTCTCAGTGACGTGGCAGAACTCATAAAAAAAAATGAAGTAAAAAGCAGGATGTTATTTGTTTTCTTCCAAGGATATGAACCTATTAATTCATTTTTCAGGTTTCAAATTCAGTGCCATTACTATGCATTGAAAACAAAACTTTTATATCGAGAGTCAGTGAAGACCTGGAGTGAGCAGACCCGGGTTCAAGTTCTGATTCTGCTGCTCACTAGCTGTTTGACTTTAGACAAGTTTCTTAACCTCTCAAATCCTCCTTTCCTCATTTATGTAATAAAGTATTAAAAAGCCTGCGTTACGGGGTTGCTATGAGGATTAACTGAGGCGGTTCATGGAAAGCTCGTAGTGTAGTGTCTGGCACCTAGGACATGCCCAACCACGTTAGCTATTATTATAACGTGATAGTGGCAGTAAGAAGTCAAATGGTGGTAGTGGAAATAGCATGTGGAATGGTTAGCCCATTCTTAGACTTCTCAGGTATTGAGAAGGATACGTTGTGAGAAATGCATTGTTAGGAGCTTTTGTCATTGGGTGAACACCATAGAATATACTTACACAAACCTAGATGGTATAGACTACTACACACCTGGGGAGTGCATGATTGTAATCAGAATAGACATGGGCAGGAAAGAGAATAGTGCCCCATCGCCCAAGAACGAGCGTGTAAAAGAACTTTTATCCGTAGTTTTCCAGGCACATAAGTGTTTGAATTTGGAAGTAAGACGTCTGTCCAGCAGTGCTTCCAGCCCATGTTGGCTTCTACTGTTATTTCAGTTTGTTGATTTCTTTCTGCATCCCTTTACCAATATAAGAGACAGATCTATCAGAAAGAGGTGAATCAAGGCTGCTTTTTGTGTTCATTGAATACCTGATCATTCTTTTTGAAACCCCCAATATGAAATCTTACCAGTGGTAAACATTTATTTTTGAAATACACAAACACCTAAGGTCACTATGTTCATTCATTATGTTCAAAGAGAGTAAATGTAACCTGTGTCCTCAAAGGAAAACATCTTATGATGGGGGAGGTTTTTCCCTCATTCTTTTCAGTTAGTAAAATGAAGCATACAAAACTGTGAAAAACGTGATACATTGACTGCTTTAACTACTGATCTGTCATAAATAATTCCGTCTTGGTTCTTAATTTCCAAGGAAGTAACACGTCTGTCAAATAGACTGTTACTGTTGGACCAAAAAAGGGAGGAATTTTGTACTTTTTCACATCATTTTTGTAATAAGATTCATAAATGTTAATTCAAAGAAATCAAGCCTAGAAAACTAAGATGTGAAAAATGATCTTTAAAATTGTTTCACTTTGCTACGTTTACCATCGAAAAATGCTAATTAATTTCCCTCAACTGTTGAGTATTTTACTGGACCAAGTGTGATGGGTTTTCTATCCAGTGTTTGTATATTGTATCGACAGGAAAGGGGACTGAGAAATTCATGAGGTGTGATAAAGGTGGTACCTTTTCTCTTTACATTTTCTTTCCTAGAAGTGCTGGGAGTTCTTGTTTTGACATAGAAATTAGCATTTGAATGCAGTGCATTTTGCTTTTCCAGGACTGACAGCTCTCTGTACTGCATATTATTTGTCCCTAGCTCATCTGTGTGTCCATTGAAAAAAATGGATGATAATGCCATTCATAGTGTTTCTAAATTCCATAATTAGTATTAATGGTAAAGAAATACATTTTCTCCCTGTTAGAAAAATGAGTGAGTAGCCTCTTTGATTTGGCAAATTGTACAACATTGTAGAGCTGATCAGTCAATGGCAATCATTGCTGCGATTTAAAGCAACATAGTTGTTCTAATATCTAAACTGCTTTTAAATATGGTCTCATTCCACAGCATCACCAGTTTCTTCTTCTTCCTCTTCTTCTTCTTCTTTTTTTCTTTTTGGTGAGGAAGATGGGACCTGAGCTAACATCTGTTGCCATTCTTTTTGTTTGAGGAAGATTGTCTCTGAGCTAATGTCTGTGCAAGTCTTCCTCTATTTTTGTATGTGGGACACCACCACAACTTGGCTTGGTGATCAGGGTGTGTAGGTCCGCACCTGGGATCTGAACCTGCAAACTCCAGGCGGCTGAAGCGGAGCACGTGAACTTAACCACTATGCCACCAGGCCACCTCATCACCGGTTTCTTTAAAATCATTTAAATGCACTCAGAAAGGCCATATTTATATATATCCAATTAGCTCAGCATAAATATTTGAATTTCTGAAATGTTGGTATCAGTAATGGAGCAGAATTATAAGAGGCAGTGTGAATTTCAAAGGAAGCTTTAGACTTTTAGTACATTGGTTTTACTTTCATCTTTTACTTTTATTTTGCTTTATGACTGATTAGATTACTTAATTACCCCCAAACTTATATCTTCTTTTCTTGTTTTACACTCTCCTTGAGCAGTCTGTGGCTTTACCACTTTAACACAGTAACTTCCAAATCTTTATGTCCAGACCCAGATCTCTTTTACATTTCAGGCCAATATATCCAATTACGTGTCGGTCCCTGACCTGGATGTCCCGTGGAAGTCTGATCCTCAGCCTGTCCAGAACTCAACTTACCATCTTCCCACCACACCTCTTCCTCTCACATTTTCCTTTTCATTAACTAGGACCACCATCTGTTCATTGCCCAAGAAAACTCTCAAGTCACTCACTTTTTTCTTTCTCCCTTCCCTCCATTTTTTGTATTCTATCAAGTCACCAAAGCTTATTGGTTCTATTCTAAAATATGTCTCTGAAATCTGTCCCTGTATCCCTATGTCTCACATTGAGGATTACTCTGTTTCAGCAGGATCGAAGCCCCTGTCTGACCTTCCTGCCTCTGGTCTTGTTGCTGCTAGTCATCCTCCACGGAGCTGCCAGGCTGACCTCCCTAATACGTGGGCCTGGTCGCGTCCTTCCCTACTCAGATGGAAACTCCTTAACACAGTGGACACCATACCTCGAACCCAGCCTCATTTCCTGCCACCTCCGCCCTGTGCTAATGCTCCAATGATCTCAAACTACCTCCAGTGCCAAGAACAGGCCATACTCTTTCTGTCCTGATTTTTTGCATATACTTTTTTCTGCCTGCCTGGAATGCCTTCCTCTCTCCTCTTCCCTGCTGAAGGAGTTCTTCCTCAGTTTTCAAGTTGCAGTTCACGTGTCCCCTCTGGCAAGCCTTCTCTGATGGCTTTTGGCTGACACAGGCATTTTTTCTCCCATGCTCCCACTGCACCTTGTACATGCCTGCGTTTATTGCAGTTAGACTAAAATGTTATAATTCTTGCATGTCAGTATTTCTCTAGATTGGAGGGTCATTTAGGGAAAGAATTGCACTTTCCATCTTAGTGTCTTTGGTTCCTAGCATCCTGTATGTGTTCACTAATGAATGACTTGCTAATTAAGTTAATGGCTCAGAGAAGTACTATTATTTTTTCAGGCTATGAGATTGCTATTGAATATTATGGTGCTATAGTGTGCTAAATTTGACGATATCAAAAAAGACTCTGCACTGCTTAGAGAAAAGTATATTCGTATGTACTCTATGGTAACCACATTGATGCTTCTCTGTTTCAGCATTAATCAAGTCTGATTTGAGAAGACACAATATAAATATAGGAATTACAAATGGTGATATTAAAGCTGTAAGTAATGAAAATTTTTATTATACTGTTTAGAAATGTGTGCATAGAATAAGTATGAAACAAATCTATCTAGTCAGTTGTTTTATATTCTTGAGCCAACTGTTGATCTGTCATAATGACGTATGCCAGATACTATACATTTTTTATCTTCTGATTCTTTCTACAGGTACCAGTTGATAGTCCTGCAGATCAAGAAGCAAAAGCTATTATAATGTCCAAGCAGGCAGAATCAGCAATTTGAGGTGAAAGGAAAAGTTGATGTCGTGTGATAATTGAGCAGTAAGGCTTGGTTTATAGATTATGGGGTATGGATACTTAGTTGAAAATTATCACATGACTCCTAAACTTTATTACTGTTTTGCTTAATTGTTAATTTAAGCAATATTTTGCTAAAATTACTTTTGCTTACATCATTTTAACACTACCGTTTTTCTAATGAAGATCCCATTTTTAGTCTTAAATTGTCAATCTGAAAGTAAGCTTCTTGACATTTATTTTTCAAAAGTAAATATTTTTCTTTTTTGTAGAAAATGGAGGCTTAGGAGGCTTTAAAATAATATTGAGGTTTAATCCCTGTAAGTTACATAAGAGTATGTGTGGTTTCTCTATGAAAATATCCAGTGGAACCAAGTATACGATATGTTCCTGATTGGCCCTCTCTCCGTCGTTCCTGCCAGCTGTCCCAGCCCCTCAGCGTGCCGGCATGACACCTAACCCCCCAGAGGACGGTGTTGGGGTGAGACCTCCAGATGACCTCTGAGATTTTTCCCATTTCTTATATTCTTGTTACAAAGTGCTTTGTAACAGATGGTGTCAATGGCTATAAAAGCTGTGTACAGGCTGAACCCATGACTTTGGTCTTAGACTTACGTTCTATTTAAGCTAAGGAGCCCAGGCACAGGCTTATCTTGAATTTTTCTCTGTGCTGCCTTCCTATCATGGTATAAATGCTACCACTCTATTTTTTCACTCCAACTTGAAATAGAGTAGTTTTGTACCCATTGCCTTTTTTACTCTCTCATTTTTTTCAATATAGAACTTTCTAGTAAGAAAATGCCATCTTATATGTTACTGGCTTTTTCATGATTTTTTGTATTACACCTTATACTTTTGCCTTGAAGTTTCCGAGATAAGGAAATCTATAATAACTTCAGATAGCCTAGGTTTCCATTTAATGGAAACCTCTTGAAATGCTCTCTATTCTAGTTCTCAGTATCATTTTTTGTGACCATTCTCTTCTGAGGAATACTGTGCCCAGGTACGTGCTCCCTCAGCGTCGGGGGAGTGTATCTTCACCATAGAGTGTACACAGTCTCCGTACTGTTGGAACAGTCTGCTCTTTCACATGCTCAGGGTAAGGAGAGTAGGACCAAATGTGTTTCCACAGTGCCTACCACTGCGTTTCATTTACAGTGAGAATTTAAATGTTCATGTCCTGACTCTCTAAGCTGATAGAGAATATCTTATGAGTAATGACATTTAAGCACCCATAATACTTGTATTATGTCCAAGTAAACGAAAAAAAAGCTGTCAGGTATATTCTTGCATACCCTTGAAGTGAATTAGCAATTCTGATTTGGGCATAGCCTATGTCTTGCTTTATATTCAAGCTATAACATTCTCTGTGATCAAACAACGGTAAATTTTGTAGAGTCTCACCCTGGAGAATGTGTTACCAGAAGTTAGCTGGGACTCAGGACCTCCGGGGCCATGTCCTGGGTCTGTTTCTCACTGTCCCTGTAACTCTCCGGGCAGCATTTCCTCATCCATATAATGAATGTGATCAATTTAATCTCAAAGGTCTTTTGTGAATCTTAAATGCTTTCATCGTAGGGTAGATCAGATCATTGTAGCATAAGAACTTAAATCTAGCTAGAGAAAAATTCCCTGGACAAATGGATACACAACAGTGATTGTTTCTTTCTACATACAGGGAATTTAAAATCTGACTTTTTAGCCTTTTTATTCAGTTGGTGATCACTCAGGCAGAATATGCTGAATCATTAACTTCCTTATTTATTTACTTCACTGGTTTTATGGCCGAAAATATATTTTAAGGCCCCTTCTCTAAGTAACTGTTTTTATTTTTAAACTGTGAATGTTTAAAATAATCATGTATTTGTTGAGTTCCTGAGGTTTTGAACACATTACAGATAAAAGTTGGAATGCTTTATTTCTGAAAAGCATATACATATATGTCATGTGTATTTTTCCTTGTTGATTAGGAAAAGGATGAAATATGTGATAAAACATAAAATGAACTGAGAATTTTTCTGTATTTTGAATTAAAGTTGACTGTAATATGTCAAACAAAAATGTCTTATAATTCTATGTTGTATCTTTGGAAAATGTTGTTGGGTAACCATAACCTGTGTAACTTTTAATCAAATGATTTTAGAAAGAAACTAGATATTTTCAAAAACTGTCACCTTTATAAATGTTGCAAATATAGCTTTTCCTTCTTCTTCTTCTTCTTTTTTTTGGGGGGGTGAGGAAGATTGGCCCTGAGCTGACATCTGTTGCTAATCTTCCTCTTTTTGCTTGAGGAAGATTGGCCCTGAGCTAACATCTGTGCTGATCTTCCTCTATTTTGTATGTGGGTTGCTGCCACAGTGTGGCTGCTGACGAGTGGTGTAGGTCTCACCCAGGAACTGAACCTGGGCTGCTGAAGCCGAGTGTGCTGAACTTAACCACTAGGCCATGGGGCCGGCCCCAGCAAATATTGCTTTTGCCTTTTGTGAATGTTGGAGAAATGTCTTTAAAAATATGTTTAGGTGTTAACCCAGAGTATTGCTGGAAGAATGCCTAAGTCTTTTTTAATGTTCTAATTTTTGCTTTTTGTATTATTTATCTGTATGCTTGTTCTTCAGTATTTCAGATTTGAAATAAATTTATTTTTTTAATGTAATTTTGTATGGCTTTTTTTTTCTTTAAATTTTAAGTTTATTCTTAGGCACACATGGGAAATGGAAAGGGGTTATGTGATTTCAGAATGGACGAGGGAAGGAGAGAGGTGGTTTGTGGAACACAGGGAAACAAAGTCAAACCAAGGTCAGGGCTAAAACAGCAAGGTAGCGAGGGCTGTGTCTCCTCTTCTTACTCTGGTGCCCACCCTGCCTTCAGGCAGATGGGCCGCCTTGAGTGAGCCATCATGGCCACAACACCTAAGCTTCCGACTTTTCTCTCTCTTTCTCTCCTGGTAGCGTGTGCCTGTATTGTACCTTATTCCTGGAGTATGCGTCACTTTTCCTCAAGGCCTTTCTGATTAATATAATAAAACCAATCTGTAAGTGTCTTCATTGAAAAATAGGGTATGATGAACATTCATTCTTCGTAATGTTAAATGAGATAATACGTGGAAAGTGTTTAGCATAAAGCTTGACATTAACGCTCAAAAGATGGCTCTATTTTTATGCATTGATCGCTGGTACCTAGCACTATGCATATTACCGCTTAGATGTATTTAGATTTGAAGAGAAAAGTTAAGTGAGGTATATCAACAGAATAAGAATGAGGAAAATCGAGGTCCTGTGGGAGTCAGTAGAGAAGACATTTGAGGAGGACAGGAGTGCTGCCCAGATGATTCAGATCAGACTGGGGTCGGACGGTGGGGGACAGTGCACCTCAGAATCTCCCGAAGAGCATCCTGTATCCTAATAAACTGGTGGGCAACTGAAGGAAACTCTGACAGGGACTGGAGGCTGGATGAACCATTCATCTAGGTCTGTGGCTCCTAAAAGTTTTAGTCTCAGAATTCTTAGACTTAAAAATCATTGAGAAGCCCGAATAATGTTTGTTTTTGTGAGTTATCGATGTCATTATTTATCCTATTAGAAACTAAAAAAAAATATTCATTTAAAAGTAACTTGATTACATATTAACATAAATTACATTTTTATGAAAAATGACTTTTCAAAAACAAAACAGATGTGAGAAGAGCAATATTTTTTAATGTTTAAAGAGTGCAAAACGCTGGAATGTCGAGCTTTCTAGAATACAGCTGGATTCTCATGTCAGAGTCTGCGTTCAATCTGTGGAGATACGCTGTTTTGAAATGTTTGAAGAAAAGTCTTGCACACATGTGGAGTTGGAAAAGGAGAGTTATTTTAATAGCCTGTTCAGATAACTGCAGATATTTTTTAATCCTGTGCCAAAATTTGAACTGGTAGTGTCTTAAAGTTTAGTTGCTATGTGGAATCTGAAACTGTATCAATAAACTTTCCATGCTTTGTTACATTAAAATCTAACAATCTGTCTTATACTTTAAATACATCTTTAATCATGCATGGTTTTGTCTTATTATGCATTAGTATTTGGAAAATATTATTTCACTGAATTATGCTGCTCTTCCAAAATATTTTTCCTTATATAATGCCAGACCAATTGCATTCGTTTATACCTCTGATCTCATCAGAAAGTCTTTCAAGTATTGGGAAGGAGTCAAGCTCATACAAGTTCTCTAAAACTTGCCTTGGCAGATGCAGGTTTTCCGAAATGCTAATTTTAGTTGGAAAACTTTTCTTATCATTGGGAAAAAATTCTGTCAGTTGTTTCTTGAAGTGACAGACTCACTTCATTGCTTTTTAGAAATATCTGCCAAAAACAGAATTGAAAGCCCAGAAATAAAACCACACATCTATGGACAGCTTATCTTCAACAAAGGAGCTGAGGGCATACAATGGAGAAAAGAAAGTCTTTTCAACAATTGGTGCTGGGAAAACTGGAAAGCCATATGTAAAAGAATGAAAATTGACCATTCGTTTTCACCATTCACCAAAATAAACTCAAAATGGATCAAAGACCTAAAGGTGAGACCTGAAACATAAGGCTTCTAGAAGAAAACGTAGGCAGTACACTCTTTGACATCAATATTAAAAGGATCTTTTCGGACACCATGTCTTCTCAGAGAAGGGAAACAATGGAAAGAATAAACAAATGGGACTTCATCAGACTAAAGAGCTTCTTCAAGGCAAATGAAAACAGGATTGAAACAAAAAAACAACCCACTAACTGGGAAAAAATATTTGCAAGTCATATATCTGACAAAGGCTTAATATCCATAATATATAAAGAACTCTCACAACTCAACAACAAAAAATCAAACAACCCGATCAAAAAATGGGCTGGAGACATGAACAGACATTTCTCCAAAGAAGATATACAGATGGCCAATAGGCACATGAAAAGATGCTCATCATCGCTGATCATCAGGGAAATGCAAATCAAAACTACACTAAGATATCACCTTACACCCGTTAGAATGACAAAAGTATCTAAAACTAATAGTAACAAATGTTGGAGAGGTTGTGGAGAAAAAGGAACCCTCATACACTGCTGGTGGGAATGCAAACTGGTGCAGCCACTATGGAAAACAGTATGGAGATTCCTCAAAAAATTAAAAATAGAACTACCATACGATCCAGCCATTCCACTACTGGGTATCTATCCAAAGAGCTTAAAGTCAGCAATTCCAAAAGTCCTATGCACCCCAATGTTCATTGTAGCATTATTTACAATAGCCAAGACATGGAAGCAACCTAAGTGCCCATCAACAGATGAATGGATAAAGAAGATGTGATATATATATATATACAATGGAATACTACTCAGCTGTAAAACAGAACAAAATCATTCCATTTGCAATAACATGGATGGACCTTGAGGGAATTATGTTAAGTGAAATGAGCCAGTTAGAGAAGGATAATCTGTGTATGACTCCACTCATATGAGGAATTTAAAAATGTGGACAAAGAGAACAGATTAGTGGCTACCAGGGGAAAGGTGGGGTGGGGGGTGGGCACAAAGGGTGAAGTGGCGCACCTACAACACGAATGACAAACATTAATGTACAACTGAAATTTCACAAGATTGTCACCTATCATTAACTCAATAAAAATAAAATAAAAGCAGACATTTCAGTTATTAGAAAACTTTTAGGAGTGTTTAGAAGAACTTCAGTATGTGGAATCTACATTTTCAACTCTAATTTTATGAACTCTCCATACAGATCAAGTATTTCTGGTGAAAATTTAGTATCTAGCTTGAAATGTGCTGTAAGTCTGAAATACACACTGGATTTCAAAGACTTAGTTCAAAAAAAAAGATTTAAAATCCTAGTTTTTTTTATCTTGATTATGTGTTGAAATGATAATGTTTGGATATATTGGGCTAAATAAAATATATTATTAAAGTTAAAAAAAAAAGAAATACCTGCCAAATACGCATCTGAATAACCGTAATTTATCTGTCAATCATTCTCTCAAGTACAAATTGTTCTATGAAAATAAGCCTCTAGTGCAGCTTGCAACTCAAATAATTGTACAAGTGCTTTTCCTCTAAACAACTGTCGTACTTCGTGTGGCAGAGGTGTGTCATTGCACACTTCTCATTTCGCTGCAGAATATGAAAAAGTCATGTACCCAAGGATTCAATCGCTCTTACTCCTTCATTGATAATCTCGGGGAACTGTCTTTTTTAAAACTGCAAATGTGTGGTGGTGAAGAATCCAATGGCCGCCGATGGTACAGTTTCTGCCTTGGCCTTGATTTGGGCTAAGGTGCCAGCAGTTTATCCATCACCACCTTTGTACCATCAGAGCAAATGTCAGCACAGTGAAAACATCAAGGAACTTCTTTAATTTATTAGTGAAGAGTTTTGACATGGATTCTCTGAAAAGGTTCTTGGGGACTCCCAAGGGTCTGGGGTGCACTGCGAGAACCACTCTTCTAGAAAAGAGTTTGGCTGTCATGGACACGGATCGATGATTGACAGTGTGAGGAAAAAGGGAGAGTGGGTAAGAAGAGGGTTAAGGATCCAAGACCTCTAATGAGGAGACATGTGGAAGAAGAGTCACTGGAGACCCAGAAGGAACCTGTGGGGAAGAAAGGCAGAACTGGGTAGCTTTGTTAATGAGGCCAAAGAGAAGAGAATTGGTAGCTGCAAATGAAGATGCTACCTCCTATGTAAGCTGGAAGCCATAAAAAAATGCTACCACTACCTCTTGTCATACTATTTTAATTTAGATAACAGTGTGATATTTCAAGATGAAGTTTCCAGCTTTATTTAATTTTACAAATAGCTAAATGTTTGGTCCTCAAACTGTTAGAAATGTAAAATAATACATAGCATTTTATGTTACCAGTATATATTAAATAGACTTTAAAATCTAAGACCTTTCTCAGATCCCATTGAGAATCATTAAAATTACATTTAGATTGTCAGTGGGAAAAACTACTTCTGTCCAGAAAAAAATACCATTCTTATTTTCCACAGCAGACACAGATATATGGGTGAGTAACACATTTCTGAAGTCAACTCTGTTTTGTAACCCACTTCCCCAGTCTCAGCTTCCTGGACCAAGACGCCAGCCCCCGCCACACTGCCCCTCCCGCTCTGCAAGTGGAGCTGGTTATTCACATAAGTGACAACCTGCCCTGAAGTGACTTCAAGTGCTTTGACACAATCCTAGTGCCTGGAAAATGCCTTTATGACATCTCATAGGAGATAAAATATCTTTGGTTCCCTAAAGAGAGGT